TTTAATCACTTTATCAGTCATTGTTTGCATCACTGTTGTTTTTATATCATGTTTCTGTTGTTTTCATACCATGTTTTTGTCGTTTTTATATCATGCCTCTGTTGTTATATCCTTTTGTTACTGTTTATTTATTAATAAATTTATATATTATTTTCATATATATTTTACTAATTACCTTTCATCTCTCACACTTCTATTATAAAGGGCAAATAGCAATATTAAAATATCTCTACTAATTAATTCCCTTTTAAAAAATATATATTTTATTGATTTTTTACAGAGAGGAAGGGAGAGGGATAGAGAGTTAGACACATCAATGAGAGAGAAATATCGATCAGCTGCCTCCTGCACACTCCCCACTGGGGATGTGCCCGCAACCAAGGTACATGCCCTTGACCGGAATCGAACCTGGGACCCTTGAGTCCGCAGGCCGATGCTCTATCCACTGAGCCAAACAGGTTAGGGCAATTAATTCCCTTTTAATGTGCACGAATTTCATGTACTGGGCTACTAGTGGTTAATGAATTGTGGAATTCTTGTGGTACTGAGTGCAGCAGATTTACTTCATAAGTGAGAACATGGTGTTTATTTTTAAAAGAAGGCTGCACTGAAATCAAAGCCTTGAAATCCCTGATATTCTATGGATGTTCGAACACTGGCGAACCTCAGACTCAAGGCCAGGTTCATGAACTACAACAACTGAAGCTTTCTACATGTGTATACTTCTCCTAAGCAGTTACTGTGAAGAATATTATTTAGCTTAGTGTGAAATGTTCTGACTTAAAATGCTAGTCATTTCAAATGGTATTCCCTGCACATATAAAGATTTTGAAAGCGGTGAATTCTTTCCAACATCTCCATGTCCATTCAACCCCAGTCATTAGGGGAAGAAGGATCTCCAAATTGATTTTAGAAGAGTTAACATCATGCAAAGCAAAATTAAACAAGGTCAATAAAAACCCCATAATGTCACCCTCATAACATGATGAGTGTAACTTCCTTTTGAAGCTGCTCCATAAATAAAGGTAAAAATTATCCAACACAAAAGAGAGTTTTGTTTCCCCCACTCCACATAATAGTTTTTTTTTTCCCTAGCATTTTTTATTGGGGGCATTTGTGTTTGGGGATTTTTAACTCACCAAAGCAAACTTTTAAAATGCACACTGAATTCCTGACCAGCTTGGCTCAGTGGTTGAGCATCAACCTATGAACCAGGAGATCACAGTTCGATTCCCAGTCATGGCACATGCCTGGGTTGCGGGCTCGATCCCCAGTAGAGGGCATGCAGGAGGCAACCAATCAATGACCCTCTCTCATCATTGATGTTTCTCTCACTCTCTCCCTCTCCCTTCCTCTCTGAAATCAATAAAGATATATTTAAAAAATAAAAATAAAATTCACACTGAAGTTTATACAGCGTGTCTCTGTGACCCCTGAAATTCCATTTTTCACTCTCTTCTTCCTACCCGCCAAGATTCAAAAGTTTGCTTGCTATTCATGAATTCTCCTTCATCACTCTTAGACATATTTAATATAAAAATAGGTATAATTTATAAGAATATTTAGCTTGTATATTATTTATCTTTTTGCTAAAATAGAACTTATTTTTTATGAACTTGTAGAAAGTATAAAAAATAAGAAGCAGATAAAGGAACACTTGGGAGAAAGGAGAAAACAGTAGCTGTTTTGAGAACAAGATTCTCTAGTTACGTTAAAAAGGCTATTGTCAGTCAGTGGATTGGGGGGAAGAGGGTATAAGTTTTGTTTGAGATGTATCTATAGCCTTTGGCTCCTTCCACTAACTGACTGTAACCTTGCAGAGGGCACACATCTTGCTGTCACCAGTGGTGCTTAGAAGAGCACTGAATGATGCTTAGATTTCTTTATTGAGTAAATATATTAATTTTAGATAATTCTCATTTTTATACTTTTATTGACAAATAAAAATTATACATATTTAAGATGTGCAACATGATGCTTTAATTTAAGTTGTATTGTGAAATAATTACCATAAGAATCTAATTAACACATCCATCACCTCACAGTTACTTGTTTTTATGGTAGTGGTGAGAACACTTGAAATCTATGCTTGTGGCAAATTTCAAGTGTACAATACATCATGTTTATAATTTCAGATGATTTAAAAAAAGAAACTGGAGACAACAAGTCCACTGGCTATTTTTATCCTTAGAAAAGCAACAGTATACATTTAAATCAAGAGCCTCAGGAACACTCTATTCATTGCATTTTCCATGGACCTTGAAGAGCTCTCCTTCTCCAAGCCCAGGAGCATTGCAGGAGCTGCCTAGTATTTTTCAAGTATTTCCTTGTAGCCACTCCTGAAAAACATCATCAATCTAGAGACTCTGCTGCTTTGAGATACCACCTCAACTAGTGCAGTGCAGCATTTTTCACATACCTGTGGTTTAACCTCCAGCATGCTTACAACTTCTCGGGTGTCTATGCCTCTCCTAAAGTTATGAATTGACTCTGCTGGAAAAATCAATTACAAGACTTCTCTATGCAAGATGCCTATTGATTTCTATAGCTGTGAGTTCACAAAGTACCTATAATGTTCATTTAAACACCATCAGGTCTTATAATTGTGGCTCAAGATTCTTTCCAGATGAAAGTGATGTTCTGGTGGTTTAAAAAGTTGTAGGTCAGGCGCTTGTAATAAGCACCTGAACAATTCCCTGTAAGGGCAAAAGATGGAGCAGAGAGTGGTTTTATCTTTATAAAATAAACGATTTGATAACTATTTTGATATCTGGTCATAACTTTTTTGGTTCATCACCATTATGAGAGTCTGTGGAGGAGGCGACATCTTGTGTGTATGGAGGAGAAGTCAGGCTAGCAAAGAAAACAGCTGCAACATTTGATTAGCTTTTTCCAGCACTGATGCTAATGTACATTTCTTTGTGAATTTTCAGAGTTTTGAGGGAACCATTTGCTCCTCTATAAGGAAATGAAGATAGGCATCATTGAACAACTTGTAATTTAATGTGTGCTCAGAACCGGGATTGGGAATAAACAGTAGGGAGGAAGAGTAAGGAAGAATAGATAGATGAAAAATGTCATCTATGGGGAATTTCTGTGACTGTGGGCTATTCTTAGCCTGATCTCCAATATAAAACCTTATTAATTATTTTATAAAGTTGGACAAATTGAGAAAGAAAACCAATTTAATTATATATTTTGAGAAGATCCAATGCTCTATAAGACAAAGTAAGACAAACAATAGTAAAGCATCAACCCTCATTTTGAATTCAAAGAATGTTAGAGATAGTAAGGCCTTTGAGAAAATCTAAGCTGACTCTCTTATTTTACAATGTGAAGACAGAACCTAGCGAGAGAACCTGGCTGAAGAACCTAGAGTCAGAACCTAGGGACAGGACCAAGATGGCGGCATAGGTAAACACCGCAGACTGCTGCCGCAAACAACCACTTCAAAAATACAACTAAAAGATGGAACGGACATCACCCAGAACCACAGGAAGGCTGGCTGAGGAGAGACTCTTCAACTAGAAGGAAAAATAACAGCACACCGAGGCTCAGAGGAGGCGCAGTGTGGAAAAAACTCAGGTGCGGAGGTGCGCGCGCAAAGCGGGCTGGTGGCTGAGAGCGCGGT